CTGTTCCACACTAGTAATTATTAAAAAAGAAAACCACACTGCCAGAACATATGTATTTGATACCCTCCTGTCAAAAGGCAAAAGCCTCCTTTTTTCCTCTCAGAAGTTTTACAAAATAGCCTCTACTAAAAGTAACCGACATTTTTGTACTAATCAGTAGATTAATTGGTACACCATGTTATTCAGTCAGTCTTTCATTAATCAGGTAGCAGTTTAAAGATAAAAATCTCCCTGGATTGTCTGTGTTGCTTATTAGTTACTTTGACGGTAGGAATTTTTTTTTTTTTTTTAAGGTGAGGTGCTGTGTTAGCACATTAAATAAAAAGAAGTCCCCAGATCGACTGCATGAACACAGTTTACTTAAATATAAATCTACGTGATTCAGTACTGTAATTTAAGGCTTTATTACTAAACTTCAGTATGCATAGGTATAAACTTAATGGTGGTACAGAAGTTAGCAAACAATTTATTATCAGTGTGCCAGCGGCATTACTTTAAGAATCCCTTTATGATTCTCTGTTGAAGTGAATGAACTCTTCTATGCACCATTCCTGTAGTAATCTGGCACTTCTGGTGCGCCCCCTCCCCCAACTTCGTTGTCTTGAGTGACCGGCAAAAAACCAAAAATCATTAAAGATAGTGGGAAGAACATGAGGATTTTGCTGGAAAGGATGAATTCAAATTTCAACTTTCTTACTGCCTTCTGTTTCCACCCCATCTTCCCAGGTTCTGTATTCCAGTTCGGAAGTAATACTTCTAATTTCAACTTTCCAAATAACCCAGGAGTATTTACTTTTGGTGCGAATCCTCCTGCACCAGCAGCACCGGCACAGCCTTCTGGCTCTTCAGGATTTTCGTTCAGCCAGCCTCCAGCATTTACAGTGGGGTAAGAGACCATATCAGAATTTCCCTTGAGCTTTGGGTAATGTCAGTGGACAGTGTTCAGCCTCTACTGCTGTTAAATCGGGAGGTGTTCAGATGAACCTTGGAGTTTGAAACTAAATTGGGCATCCTTCCTTGTATTAGCCTGACTGGCTAACTAAGCAACGATATCTTTAAAGGAGCCTAGCTGTCAGAAATATCACACATCGGCCTATGTGAAATTGTCTTGTTCTTGAAGGGTAAAATCCGTATCTAGCCATTATGCTGCTACTTACCTTCTGAATGAGAGAGCTTTAATTGCTTTTGGGTTCTGGAACTCTCTTCCTCCTGTTCATCATATGCCATTTGTTGCCAGCTGATAACTAGTGAGACAAGACTATGAAACAGTTGTTCTGGAATATCTACTTGGTGCTGCTACTGAATTTTCAGCTACTGTCCTAAACTCTGAACTACTAATTTCTTTTGATAGGACTAATGGGAAAAACGTTTTCTCTGCCTCTGGATCTTCAGCTTCCGGTCGGAAGATAAAGACTGCAGTTAGACGTAGAAAATAATCGCCCGATTCGTAAAGCAGCTTTCGAAGCAGCTACTACCCTGCATTGTTCAGTTGTTGGGATCGTACCTCATGCTGGGTTAGCTGAAGTCAGATCTGCCTAAAGGAATATAAAACTCTGCTGCCCTTTCCTTCCCTCCCCTCTCCCAAGTTAGTTTTTTTGGTAACAAATAGAGTTGGCAACAGGGCCGTTCTCAAGCAAAACTATTTTAGACTCCAGCAAGTTACTTCTTTCACTGACTCGGCATGGTCTGGCTGTAGCCGTGAGTAGAGCCTGCACAGTGAATGGCTTGTACAATACCTCTTCATCTGCACCACTATGTGCGCTCATCTGCGTTTACTGACGCCTCGAAATTGTAATTATATCAGCGAGGGATGCTGTATAGAGTAGAGGATGTTGATAACGAATGATTTCTATGCTGAGTTTGTGCTGGTGTATGTGTGAAGTGAGTGAGTTTGGGTGTATCGTGCACTAAAATTTTCTGATAGAGGAAGACTGATTAAAGGATGATCCATGCTAAGGACTTGTTAGATCTGTAGTTCTTCATTTAATAATTATATGCTATTTCTATATTTTCATTCTTACAGCCCTTTATCACCTGTCTCGCCTTTGTTATTTTATTATGAAATGTGTAAATACAATTTTGTTTCTTTATGTACTTTTTTGGCATAACAAATCTGTGAAATTGAAATTTTAATTTTGTGTGTTACGGCCATTTTTGTTTAGTATTGTCTCAGATTTTATGTAAATCCCATTATTCAAAGTTGCCTAAATCCATTTAGAAAATCTTTAAAATTGGGAATTCTTAAAGTAAGTTTATTGGCTTTTCTGATCCATTTTTGTTTGGACCAAAAACCAGTATTGTACAAAGTATTAAGTATATATTTTTATATTTACTGAAATGGACTGTGGTGACTTTGGATAATAAGGAAAAGTTTAATATTAAAGCCATGTTTATTACAGTATAATTAACATGTTAAACCATGGGATAAATGCCATCAATAAAAACTACGAAATACTGTCTGGCAGTTTTAACTCTCCACAAAGGCAGCTGCAGCTCTAACTGTACGAGAAGATGCGCTCAAACTGAGCAGTGTCACATATTTTCTACAACCTCTGCTTTTTGACAGTGACACTGATTGTAGAGGATCTTAGAAGTTCCCTCTTAGGAAGGAGAGCTTTACCATAGACTTAAGCTTCAAGCTTTGTCAGCTGTCTGACTGCACTGGTTGCTCTTAATTTTTATAGAGCTATTTAAAAAAAAAAAAAAAAGTGCTAATGTTAGAACCATTCACCACCATTCTAACTGAAGATTACTCATTGCAAATGAGTAATTTGGGGGTTTTTTCCACTTCTGTAGCAGTTGGAGGAGCTTCTTCGAGAACAGACATTGTTCTAGTAAAATGAGAGGAAATGCTCTTGTTTGTGTGGGGACCACAGCTGAACTTTTACTGAGCTACAGCATTTGGGTTACGGTTGAGATCCAATTGCTTGCTACAGCTAGAACTGAGACGACCCACATAATTACATAAGCTTTACCTGTCTTCAGAAGCGTTGCTGGGTTTTTTTGCTAGCACTGCTGCCATTCCTGCCAGTGCTGCTCAGTACTTGTACGGTTACCAGTGCTGGTATTACAGAATGAGATACTTTTCTAACCACGAACTAGACTTGACAGGAGGACAAAGGCTAACTTCTGTTTTCATGGGAGTCTTACAGGGGTAGAGATCCAATAACTACTTCTATAAATAGAAAATATTCAGCAGCTAGACTTTAAAAACACACACGTAAGCTGCTATTCAGTCACATCCTGCCACTGTAGCTGTGGAGGGTCTATATGCAGTTATGTATTTCCAGATGTCTAAATCAGAAAAATGACACAAACTTCACTTTTTCCTTAGCTCTATCACTTGCCCCATACTCATTCTACAAACAGAAAAAAGCTGCATCTTCAATGCACTTGGTTTGTCTCTTTCTTACACAAAAAGCTGGAGTTTACAACAGCATAATGTATACGTATTTCCGTGGACAGGCTCTGTGTTCTTGAATTGTGTTTTCTTTACCTGCTGTGGAAAGGGTAGTGCTTTTCTACAGGGTAAGAGATATTTTCCCTTACACCTGAAGTGGCAGCGATAAAGTTTTAGCCAACGGTGCTGCTTTTCCCTTCCTCCTGATCTTGAATCCTAGTTTCTAGGTCACTGCTACAGTAAATAGAACAACTGTTCTTTTTGTATTCATACCTGATAATTGTAAATAGGCAAAACTCACCCTAGGAGGTACTTCAGTTAGTTCTGACAGCTTTAGCTTCTGTCAGGATCATTGCCATGCCTGACTTTTTAACTTCAATGCTTAAGTCAACAGTGCAATTCTTTGAAAGAACAGTAAAGTGGTATCGCTGAAGCTCTGTTTCAGCTAAACATCTTCAAGTGGTCTAATAACCTCAAAAGGTGCTTTATTCAGGCCTGCTTAGTGCCATTTATTACTTAAACATTATTATTGCAGTGATGTGTGGCAGTAACATTGCTGTAATGCTACCAGTACATTTAAGATGCCAAAGTCTTTTTGTTTGGTAATAAATTATTAGTGTAAAAAAGTAGTAACCCTCAAAATGATGAGGTATTTTGATACAGATATACTTTCTGATTATGCAAAGACTTTAAAATCAGTTTTGTGTTTGTTTGTGTTTTTTTTTTACTTCAACAGAAATAGCTGAAGTCATTATCTAAAAAGGTAGCAACTTCATTCTGGAGAGATAACTGATGGCAAAATGTCATTCTCCCACTATTCACTGTAAATGAAGATCAGAATGCACACACAGAACATTGTATTTATACGCAGAAGAACACCACTTGTCAAACTAAAACATTGCAGAATATTAACACATTACTGATTAAGTTATTTCACCTGAAGACAAGAGAGAGAACCAAGCTCATTTATTTCTATTGTCAACCAAACCATTGTTCAAAACTGAAGGTAGGGCAAGAACTTCAGGCACTGAGTGGCAACTTACACCTTAAGGGAGGAACACACAAAAACCGGGCTCTAAAAGAATTCAAAACTCTTACTCAAATTTTAATAAAACATTAACAGTGTTGCTTATATTCCTTTCCCAAGATACTAATAACATGAGAATAAACATTATCAAAGCTATGTATCATGCAAAATATTAGGCTTCTTTATTCAGTATTTAAGTTATTCTGAATATACAAACAATTAGCCAGAATTATAAAGTGAAAATAACCAGTATTTGTAGATTTACACCCATAACACATTTCAGTTAATGTTTTCTGCATGCTCCCGAAACACATTCAGTTGCTTTGCTTGGTATTATATGCAAGAAATAGGCCAAGTGCTTTCACTCCAAACAGAAGCAAAAAAGTTACCTTTCATTAGCATGATCTGTACTGTTCATAGCTCCAAAATTATTTACACGTGCCACTTCATTAACACTGCAGTGTAACATACCCTTCCCAGAGAAAAAGCAGCTATTTCACCTCTTTATTAGCTTTGACATGTGAAATAAATGACAATGCTTGAGACAATCATGCAAAAAACTTTTCACATCAATGTTCTAATAAAATACTTAAAGAGGTGAGGGAATATGATCTGTGAAGCAGGTAAGGGACATGATAAACACTGCTCATCTCTCCTTCTACACACATGGCAATTAATTTAATTAACATGATTTGCCTTACTGTCTAATACTGCAGTTCTCTTCCCCTCAGAGTTCATCATACGACTTAGGCAACTGCTTGGAAATCAACTTGATTTTCTCATTACCTGCCAACATCCAAAACTGCAGGAGTGACATGTCTTTTAAGGTGGAGTATTTCTAGGTATCTGCTTTCCACAGACTGACGAACAGAACAGCTCCCTTCCGCAGTTAACACAGCCACTTTCTTCCTCATCAGTCGGAGGTTAATACTTCCAGATTTAATAGAGATTGTTTCTCCCAAACTTCTTTGGCATTTATGAAAACTCCCAATACTTTGAAGGTAGCTGCTGGCATCATACTGGAGCAAAACATTTTCTTTAGCTTCTGAATCAGTTCCCATTTAACTTGGGCAAAAGATTCTGATAGATACCTCTATTTCAGTTTTGGGGTAGGTCTTTGTTCACTGGGGGTGGGAGGGGATGTTCAGTCTGGAGATCTCATCTTTTGGTATCATCTGACTCCATTTCTTCTTACCACAATAGTCCCTGCTACAATATCATAGGCTGTTCTGTTATGCTGGAAAAACAGCAGTGTAATGAACGCAGGAAAAAATGAAGCAATAGAAAAATTCTTGATCAAAGCTCGTATTGTGGACCTGAAATGAGAATAAAACATTCAGTGCCTTATTTTTCACTTTTCTGCTTATATTAGTAGGTAGTTTACTTTCAAGTTCAGTGCCTCAGTTTTGCACAGCACAAAAATCAATCTCCAGATTTTAGAAGATTATTTTACCACCTAACTTGAGAAATATTCACAATTGAATAACTGCTATTTTATTCTTAGATCACAGAATCTTAATAATAGCTCTTGCAATCTAATTATTGCAAAGGCCAATAATAAAGAAATGGTGTAAATCACACGCTTTCCACGCTACTGACCTGAAAGCAACGCAACTGAGCTAAGAGCACTTACGTTGTCATACTGACATTGGAAGATGGGATAACTAACACACGGCTGGGCGCAATAAGTACAGATGTATCACATGTCACAACTCGCAGTCCAAGCAAGAATTTCCCTGGGGTTGCTCCACCTGCTCCCCAAATACAGATAATCTGTAAAAGAAAAAGTTATTTCAGTTCCACACAACACCATGTTGTTGATTGGTCTAGCAAACTTGGTTTTCATCAAAACTATGTAAATGTCATAAGCTTCAACATAATCCAAAATACTATACAGAGGATTTACTTTATAGGCCGATGGTGACAGAATTTCTTTCAACATTTACTCAACAACTGACAACTATTAACTATAGAAGTTAATGTTTATGAGTAGTTACCTCATAGAAGCAGACTAATAACCTGTAGATGAGAGCTACTATCATCATTTTCTGCAAATCCTCCATGGATGTATCTTCATCTATTTCTTCTATGATGTAATGCATAGCAAATTTAGAGATGTCCCTGTACAAAATAAGACTGAACTTTAAAGCCATCCTTCTCCCAATACCGACGTTACGCCTTCAGTACTAGAATTCACTCCTTCAGCTCTGGTATTAGTAAAAGAACAAAAGCTCCTTGCCTTTTCTGCTACTAAACAAGCCAGTAAAATTCAGAACTCTAGGTTTCCTTCTGAGCTGCTGCCTAGTTTGTCTTCTTCATTAAGAAAAGATCATTCTTTATTACCACTTTTGCACAATGGTGTCCCTGGGTTAGTAAGCTCTAGAATTGTTCTGAAAATTCTCACACTGCTCCATAAATGCAAGGGAGAAGTTGCCAGTCTCCCTAAGCAAGCAAGGCAGACCTAGCCTCCCTTTGCATGGTCAGGGTTCCTCATTCTCAGCAGTCTTTACTGCTCACCATACTCTTCCAGAGGCAGGCACCTTCACATGCAAGGGGAAGCTTTTAACTTGAAGCAATTGAAACTGTTGGTTCTTAACTAACAAACCTACGCAAAGCCTCGATTTTGAGTCAATTGCATATTTTCACGAGATAAACTCTACAGATTTAACATTCTTATCTGATACCTGGAATGGACATACTTGCAACATGTATTTAGACAAGGACTTTTCACTCATGCATGTAAGTGAGAATTACTACTCGTGTAGAAATGGGCAGTCCCACTTCAAAACAGTCCATCTGTATCTGTACTACTTGCCCTTCTCTTTATTCAGACTTAAGGAAGTAAGAAAATAGCATGGCACAACCTGCATTTCCCTTCAATACAACCTTGGCCTGAGGTCTCTGTCTTGAACCTGCGAGGACATATTTTTTTCATGACAACTCCTCAGCCTAACCTCAAGCACACCACATCCCTCTCACAAGCAAAAAAACCCCCAAAAGCCAAAACCCAGCATGTTTCTCTGAAGTTATTTATAAGCAACTTATTGGCTCTTGCAAAAGAAGGAATATTGAATATACTGTAAAATAATTGAAAAAGATTCCCTCTCTTTCCATCACCTTCACTACTTTACAGGAGCAACATACATATAGTTGTTCCCCATCTTTCCAGTACTTCATTTTGTATCATTCTCAGCCTACTAAAAACAAAATGGAAATACAAGCTGTCAGGTTAGAGTTGGAGGTTTTGGCAACTAAACAGAACTGAGAGTTTGGCATTTTAATTACATACTTATCTGAACAAAAACCACTGATCATTTACATTGACATATTTATTGTTTGGGGTTTGATGCTCTTCCACACAGCTTTCAAGCAGCAGTTTAAGGTGTCTGAAAGATGTTAATCTGTATAGCATCAGTTTACAGTCAGTCAACATTTGGAAGGTTCTTTAGCAGAGAATTTGGATTCTCAAATGTGTTTGTACAGTAATGGAATTACTGACTACACCAAGCTCTCATCTCCTAATCAGACCAAAATATTTGACTACACCAACCCAAAGCAAAGGAACTAAATGAGCTACAGAGTAAGATATCTACAGTTAAAGAAGCAGATAAAAAAGAAACAGTCTTTGAGGTAAATAATGATTACGTCCGAGTATAAAAATGTGAAATGAAGAATCTTTCAGTCTAGTGTATAGTTGATACACACAATGCTTAATCATACTTTTTAAGAAACCCAACTTATACCCAGTAAAGACTGTGGCATGGTAGTATTCCTAGCAGTCAGGCTGTATTTTAAAAGTACATAGCATTCTGACATGCAGGATCTAAATTTTTTTTTGTTGTGGGTCAGCATTGCTTTGGTCACAAATCTAAAACACAGCACCATAGGAGATGCTATGAAGAAAACTAACTCCATCCCAGCCAAATCCACTACATTTTTAAAGGCTGTTTAAAAACAAGTTTATTTGTCAGTGTTTTTTCTTTGAAAATTTTAAAGGACTTTTTAAAGATCTTGCTATTGGCCCCCCCAAAATAAGAGTGCAGGTCTAATCTATCCTTAGTAAGGAGTTCACAAGCCTACAAAGACACCTGTACAAATTCTTTGTTTCCATCAGCTGACCCAAAATCAGTAAGTATTTAAAAGGAAGTTAACCTAGCAGTGCTTTTTCCTCAACTTTTGTCAGTTATTAAGTGCCATCATATGCATAAGCATACCATATATACATCACGACACCTCAAAGCACATGAAGAGCTTAAAGCTATATATAACAAAGCTTTAAATTGTTCAACTTACTTTATTCCACTGAGGTGCATAATACTTAAAACAATGGTTGCCTTTATAAAGAACAGAATAAAAAAATCCACCATCTCTGCTATGAACCTGTGTGCCAGCGAAGGGATAATGAACTCCCGACCTGTAACAGAAATAGTTAACATTACCCAGATTTTACTGCACTAACACAAAGAAAACACCATCATCTAAAGAACATTTCACATTAACCTCACTGCAAGAACATAATCAAGATCTTGATCTCAGCTCACATCTTCAAGAAAACTTCTAAAAGGGTACAAATAAAAAAAATCTGAATTATTTAAATTGCATTATAAGAACCTTCTTAAATTAAATCAAACTCTTTCAGAACTCCGAGTCCCCTCATAATTAGGATTACAGACAAAATCCCACCCCACTAAAGGACCAAAGTACATTGAAGATGCATCAATTTTTGTATTCTTTCGTTCAGAACAGCCTCACAGAGAACAGGTTTCAGTAAATCTGAGAGTTCAGATAAGAGGAACATCAGATCTTAGATCTACTACCACTACTCTATCACTCAGCAGCAAGGCTTCCATATGTACCAAGTACCAGCTCTCTGAAAGTAAAACACAACCTATTTTGTCTCCAGTCAGACCCAGAAACAGGAGCAGATGAAAATATTAGTCATACTTGACATAAACATTCCTGTAGACTACTTATTATAATAAAACACAGCATGCTGCCCTATCATGAGCTGGAAAATGTAACACATTTATCCTATTTAATTGGCCATGTGCAAATGCACACAAAGTAAGTAGAGTTACAAGCTTTTGTTGCTAATGCTACCTCAACTGATTAAAGCAAAGAAAACAACCATTAAAGAGTATTTGCGAAAGTTTCCAAGGAATAGTGTTGCAAAATAATTTCATCTGGAACCATCTACACCTCTATTTCCCAAAGGGCAAACATGACTCTCACATGAAACCAGCAAGGACTCACATCAAGACTTCATTTAGAAATACCCAGGTACTACTAGACGTAACTTGTGGAAAATAGTGACCGGGTTTGTTAGTGTTTCTGAGAATGCCTACCCCCACACAAAGGGAAAGGAGAAAAGGAGATGAAAGAAAATCATTCCTCTCTCCAATCATCAAATTTCACTTAGAATAAGCCTCCACAGTTCAACTGCTGAGACTGATGCTGCCATCCCCAGCCTCCCAAGCTACGCAAGCAAAGCTGAACGCCCATGGCACTTGGGCGCTTCTTAAATGGGTTAAGCATAATCAAGCAGTGATTAAGTAAGAGCAAGTTCTTACCTAATGTACTTTGGTTTAAATATCTTTGTTCCATACCTATTTCACCCATCACTCTGCATCGATACTATCAAGCAGCATGACTGTTACATATATAACTACTACAACGGATTCAATTCTCATTGTCAAAGCATGTCCAAGTTGTCGATTAAATTCTAATTAAAAGATTCTTCAACTAAGGCAGAAGGGAGCATAGCCAGTCTCCCAATCCCAGCTTGAGCATATAGCACCAGATAAAAGCGTTCATTTGCTCTGTTAAAAGGAGCACGTTTGTTGAAGTTAGTGGCATAGTTTCATTTGAATATATTAAATTCAATGACTGAATAAGGAAGAAGCTAAGTGGGACTAAGAAAATAAATATTTAAAGTATGTTGAAGTCCATTGTATTAAGAAACCTTGACAACCCTTAGACTCTGGCAGATTTCTATTGTAGTGATTTGAGATGTTCCTCATACCAGAAACCCACTCTTTTGCCAGGGGTTACTATTTGTATGGCAGGGACAGCCAAATGCAACACGCATCCATCTCAGCTCAAAGTCTTGGATCATAACATTAAGCTAGTAACAAAGATGGGTTTGCACCAGTCAGCCACAGGGCAGCTGAGGCTTGGACGCACTTTTTGCCCTACTGTTCCCAGCAGAAGAGCAGTAATCTCCTGCAGTAAGGCAGGGAGGGGTAAGGGGAGGAAGCATCTTAAAACGTGATGATCGTCCACAAAAAGCCTGCTTAATACTGGTGCTCTGACACACACCTGCAGGCAGACTGAACTGGAAGAGGCAGTTACCAATTCCACTTTTTGACATTCCAGTTTAAAATCTGCAACATTAACATAAGCTGTCACTTATTTCAGCTTATGTAAGCACACCAGACTGTAAACTGCAGTGCTGTAGGGACAGATACATGACCTGCCCGGCCCAGCCTGCTGTGTGGGCAATAATCTGCAGCAGAAAAGAAGGAGCTGTAATCGCTTTAGCTGTTCCAGATACATCCGTTTGCAATCTGGAGCCAAAGCACCAGCACAACAGTGTTTGTTCACAATTGTGTTGTATCACATACGGAGCTCCCTTAAGCAGGCCAGGTGATGCAACAGTATTTCGCATTCAGAATAACCATGTTCAGCAGCATGAAATGCTATTCATGCCCAAATTACCTTTAACATATGGAATTAGCTCCCGAAGAACTAGGTAAAAATGGAAGAATCATTTCAGTCTAGCCTTTGTCCATATCGTCTTTTTCAATGACTGGCAATATCTGTTTATAAGCAATCTATAACTCAGAATCAGGGCACAATTAAAGAAAATACTACTTTGTGTTATAAACTTGTTTAAACAACATCTGCTCAAAAACACAAGAAAGAAGCAAGTTCTGAAGCTAGATTCCCTTCCCTTCAAAAGAAAGAAAAAGCAACTAAAAACGCTCTCCCCTCACTCGCAGCCATTGAGCTTATAAACAATGTTACAGATCAGTAATGCTATACTTTGCCCTGCAGAAAGAAAGGAGATCTGGCTTTTCTCCAAAGTCCTTCGGCAGTGTTCTGCTCCATGGTTTTCTGCCATTACTCAAGGTGCTACCAAACACTCGGGGAACGTCATCTATGGGCTCCTCGGCTTGTGAGGAAATGTTTGTGCTTCGGGTTTTATCTCTGATGTGATCAGAGCAAGTTTGTCCTACTCTTGAACAAATACAAACAAAAGCACTGCTATGCAGGGTCTTCAATAACTATAGCCATAACAGACTTTTATTTATCTCAGGTCTTGCTGTTAGCTTGTTAAATGTAAGCATGTTTTTACTTCTCTGCTTCGATTTCATTAAATGTTTTATTTAAGCACCAAGAGCCTCCTAACACTGATAAAGTTAGTTTAGATTTCATCCTCCAAACAGGCTACATATAAAGCTAGGTGCATCACAAGCCTGCGACCACAAGAATAAGTTTCACTGGAAAAAATAAACTCCTTCATATCCACATAAACACCTTACAAGCGCTGGAGTTATAAGCTGTACGCACAAGTCAACCTTCTCAAACCTGCTAAGGGATTAAGTTCTGGATTTACCCACTCGGTATTTGGGCCGTCCCCTTTTTTTTTTTTTTTTTCCCGACAAGGCGCAGCTACGTGCCCCGGTCCTCAGCCCACAGAAGCGCAGCGACCCCCGATGTTGCAAAACCCCCGGCTTCCTTCCCGAGGTACCGTTCCCTCGAACCGCGGCGGAGGGGCCCGCGGAGACCCGAGGCGCTGCGGGCAGCGAGCCAGCTCCACCGGCGGGGCCGGCGCCTCCGCTCCCAGCCCCCTGCCCACCCCTCAAGGCAGGCGCCGGCTCACCAGCCACCCGGGCGCTGCCCGCCGCCCCCCC